ACAGGAGGGACCGGGGGTGCCCGAGGAGCCGGGGGGCAGGAGGGACCGGGGATGCCCGACAGAAATCCCATCGGTTTGCAACGGGGGAGCGCGGCTCTCGCCTCCCCGCCCCGGACGCGCAAGCACACCGAAAAGTCACTATTTAACAAGACGGAAAGTTGTTATTTTGTTTCGGTTTCAGTGGGGACCGGGGAGGGACTGATACCCACTTGAACTTCTCGACCCCCCCTATCCCCCCCCATCGATTGGAAAGGAGTGCCACAACCGAAACGGCGGTGCTGAAAGAATTCCTTTCTACTTTCGGCTTCCTCTGTGCACATGACTCCACTTTCTGCACTGAAAGTAAACTGTTTGGGATGGATTTCCTGCCTGAGGAACCAACCTGGTGACATCACTCATTCATTCATTAGTCACCGAGAGGCACAGCACCGCGCTCGCTGCCTCAGCCCTCGCAGCGGAGCCCGCACCAGGCACACACCAGGGGCATCGCCACTTTGGCAACACCTGAAGCACAAAAATAAACCCCCCAAACCCTCTTTTCCTTCCCCACTGAGGAGGCAGCCAAATAGGACAGGCTGCACCTGATCCTTGTCCCTGCCGAGCCCCAGAAGAGAGGGCGGCTTTTGCACTGAGGGTGCCTCGTAAGTCCTTGCAGGTGGAAAAGCGAGAGAGCTGCGAGACGACCACCACACTTTTCCCGGCTCCCAGGCACGGGAAGACTTAATGGAGGCATGGCCGCTGGAAGAATGCCCCAGATGTCTTTTACGCTCATTCCTGCCATGCTCCCTTGCTATGAAGGGGTCACGGGTAGGTGTCCCACCACCCCTTGCTCCTCGTCCAGAGCCTGAGCCACTGCCAGCTGTCCTGCCGTACCAACAGCATCTCAAAGCGGATACGGGGTCCACAACGTTGGGCCGTTCTTCGGCGTGCGACTTCGCTGCAGGGCCGCGTTCCCCCCTCCTGCAAGCAGGGCCCTGCCGGCAGCGCCCCGCGATTCCCACGCCACTGCCACTATCACAGGGATGTTAAACACGGGGGTACATTCATTCGCAGGACCGGTCAGTGGTGTGCGGGGGGGTAGCGATGCCTTTAAAGCTCAGGGACGGAGGTGCGGTGGGTGGACGGGCGTGAACGCAGAAATGAACAAGTTAACTTCACTGACTATTAATAGTGCTGTGTTGGCTATGAAGGACGGTGCAAGGCCGTGTATCACCACTGACATCACGGCTATAAAAGACTGCATCAGGAGGGGATGTAACGGCCTGAGCTGAACCCTGCCCTGGAGGACGGGAGAGAGACAGAAGTGAGACGAAACCCTGTGCCTCTGCGGGGGCAAGGCTGCGATGGTCCCTAAGAGGCTTACGCGAAAGGCAAAGGGATTTTATGCCGCCACACAACGCATGACATATAACCACAAATACGAAACCAGCTTGACGACAAAGCTTCAGCTCAAACTCTCTGATGGTTCTTGTGACAAAAGAGGCAGACAACAATATTCCTGTATCACAGAGGGGACTTAATTTAAAGCCAGCTCATCAAAACCCCCACATTTCCTCTCTTTTTTTTTTTTTTAGGTTTTTTTTTTAGTTTTTTTCAAGGAAGAATCTCCTACTTTAAGATATTAAGGGCTCCCTAGTCAAACTTCTTCCACCAGAAACACTGTTTCACTTGCAAAATTGATTTGGGGCTTGTTATCTACAAGGGAAAATGAAGCAGAAATCGATCTGAATCAAATACTCCAATAATGAAAGCACTCAGCCTGAAGAGGGGTGCAGAAAGTTAGTCTGACACTTTTATCCTGCATCCCTCCCAGAAATGCAGTGAAATGCAACAGCAGACTGCCTGCAACAGTGATTTACAAAAGGCCCGAATTACGTCAGCAGCACAAGGCACCTTCTATTCAAAATTAAGGTTAAGAATGCTAAGCCAAGCAGAGCACTATATTGGCTGAACATTCAGTGCTTTACAGCGCAAAGGAGCAGATAACAGACTGCACCATTGTTCTGGGTGCAGAACAATCTTCCTCCAAGCTTTTTTTTTTTTTCTTTTTTGAAAGACAGAAAGACTTAAAAATTAAAAATTTAAAAGAACATTAATATTCATCACTTCAGTGGCTCCATATAATGGGTCGCATATCTTGAGTATCCTCATGGCTGTTTCATCTTCCAGCCTCAGTTCCTCAAGCTCACTGCAGTCTGTTGTGTGCATCAAGTAATGCAAACATTATTAGGAATGAGGACAAAAAAAAAAAACAGTCATGTCACGGTCACATTACTACTACTCCACTTTTCTATTTGTGCTATTTTTTTTCCCTTTTCTGTAAAAGAACACCTGTGACTATATACAATTATCATAAAAACTCACGCTTTTAAATGCCATTATGCTGAAAATCTTCAGCATCAAACGGATCCAAATTTGCATTCTACAATTTGAAATTAATCACAGTGTAATTAATACCAGGGCAAACCAACCATTGCTATCCTGGATTATGACTCCAAACCAAGTATAAGGAGAGAGTACCAGTTAACAGAAGGCCCCTTGGCTGAAATCTAATAGATAAAAAGGTTTCAGTACACTAGTTCTTCAAGAGTTTTCCTTTGTAAGAGATGAAGATCAGAGACATCACAGAAAGCCATTAAATACACTGAAGAGTCATTACCAAGACTGCACAAACTGAAAATCAGTCCAACAAGTTTTGACTTTCATGCCCGGATTTCACTCATCAAGATTGTTCAGACATGAGAACCGTACCACCAGTGAGGTATATAGACAGGGAATTGAACTGAAATGTATGTACCTGTGCAAGCAGAAGGAGTGATTTATTGCAGAAGGC